TATCGTCCCCTTCTGCTTTACCAAAATCTGATCAAGCTTCCCTTCAAGTTCCTTTCAACCTCAATTTAAATCTACTCATGTCCTTTCACCCAAGTTGCATGATAAAAGTTATGGAGATGATGGAAATCATGAAAAAAATTGAGCAAATTTGGAGTATCGGAAAAGAATTTACTTATTTTTGTGGTAAAGTGGTGACCAACTGGAAATGTAAGGAGGAAAAAGAAGGGGCAGTAGACTATACACAAGTTGAGAGAGAAGGCCAGCTTGCTGAATTGTCATAGGGAGGTTACTGCATATAAGGTCTTTGTGAAAAGTTTGCAAAAAATGATTGCCCTGAAATTCAGATTTAGGAAGAAATTTTTGTTGCTGAGGATGGTTGTTTTTCTTGGAATCAATTGCCTTCTCTAAAAGTAATAGAACCTTCAAAATGGATGTTTATATATATGCTAAGTGTGACAAAATGCCTAAGTATTTCAATTTAAGGATAATTGAACAATGAAAATTTCAATCAGAAAATCAGCTTTCATATGTGATGATGAACATCCTTGGGGACAAGGATGCTTTCATGGGGAGGGTATTGTCAGATCACAACTAATAATAGTTAGCATTTGTTAAAACAATTAGTTAGGTTGTTTAATTAGTTAGGGATTAGTACAAGTAGTTACTTTTCTGTAATGAATCTTGTATCTAGAAAAATATGAATGGAACTTAAAATTTCTCCCTACAACAATCCCTCCTTTCTCTTCTTTTTCCTCATTTGTCTCCTCCTAAACCCTTATTATCTTCTCTTCTTCTAGATTCTTTTTTATTTCTGCAACAATTCTTCTTCTTCTTCCTTCATTTCTTCATAAATCAGGATCAGGTTCTTGACACTCAATAGCCTAAATTTCTAGTATCTTACAATCTACATGAATAATCTAAATATGTTGAAGATTTTAAAGAACAATAACAATAATTATAAAAAAAGAAAAATCTTCTTTAACACAAAATTATTCCAAACTAGTATCTTCTCGTTTTATACCATTTTGTCTCACATGGTGAAAATCCATCCTTAACTTTCTAAGTGAGAAGCATCAGTATTGAAAAGGCAAGGGCATGGTCTTCAAAATCTTCAAAAATTCAAAATTGTTATAATTTCCATACAATCAACAAAAATAAATTGTTTAGTGCAATTATTGTGGATGGAAACAGCTTCAACACGAGCATGAGGCAAAACAAATGAGAAAGGCGCTAAATATGCTCAACATGGATGGAAACAAATTCAAACAGAACCAATATTTCTTGCAATGATAATGTTGTTGCAAAAAGAACTCCAAGCTTCAATTTTCTAACATAGAAGAAGTGTAAGCTTTACTCTTAAGCATACCTTTAAATTCTTGAAATAGATCCCATAATTTGATAATTTGTTATTATAACTGTATTCATACTCAATACTTTTATTTCAAAATAAAATAAAATAAAATAACTGTATTCATACTCAATACATAGCTAAAAGCAAAATGTCTTTACCATTTAGAGAACTCTTAATATATGCAATATCTTCGACATATTGATATTGGACATGCTCACTTGCGAAAATATCTCAATACTCTCTGTGCATCTATGAGGACAAAAAACTTGGTACAATGCCTCATATTATTAGCTAGATTATATGATAGTTGTAACAAAAAATTTTTGGATTCCATGTCAAAGCTATCACTTTTCACCATGATCTTTTGTAAAAGTGATTGTGCATAATTTGACCGAACTAACCTTAAAAGTTGATATAACACATTCAAGTACCCTAGAAACTGGTTTTGAACAGTGAAAAACAAATCTGGAATGACCAAAATTTGTCCAAGTCAAACTAGTATGGCCCAAACTAAGTGAACCAGTCAACAAAAAGAATGAGAAGAACCAGCACAAAAAGCTAAAGAGAATTAAACCTTAAAAAAGAAAATTCTTAGTTCACCATCATCCATGCTCTCTGTCTTTATATAAGCATTAGTCACATCCAATAAGGAAATTGTTAAAACAATAAAAGAAGAAAATAAAGTTTCTATAACTTAAAAAATCTACCTAAATAACCTACATAATTTAATTTACCTAAATAACCTAAGTTTCTAAACTTAAAAAATCTACCTAAACACCTTAAGTAATTTAAAGACACTGGATAATAATAATAACTAAAAAGAACCTCGTTAACACAAAATTGTCGTTCCAAATTAGGATCTTCTTATTATGTATCACATATAAAATGAATTCCAAACATTGATAATTGATTAACTACAACTCAACCTGCCCAAAATAATCTTCCTATTGCATTATAGGAGAGTATCATCAAGACACTGGTAAAAGTAGCCAAAGAATCATATCACTATTTACAAGTATCATCTTTCTACTACATTTCAAATTAGGTCTATAATATCACTTCTTCCATCCAACAGGACAGTTAATGAGGCCAGCTCAGGTACTATTAAATCATAAATATGTAAAGAAGATTGTGCATTGAAAATAAAGAGTATGGAGTGTAATAAATAAGCTGTTTACCTTTATAGATTTCCTTTGCAAAGGACGAGTACCTACATTGATCTGAGCGCTAGAAGCCCTGATCAAAAATTTACAAAGTAAAAATTAATAATTGGAGTTTTCTTTTTTCGATTGAAATCTGAATGTAACTTCTATTTTCCTTTCTCCAAGGGTGTAGAAAAAAATATTTATACATCCACTTCTCAGTTTTAAAGAACCAAATCACCTTCAACAAGATCATGTCCGAATAGAAATTAAAGAGTTGGACAAGAATTTAATTCTAGAGCTAAGCTTCAATTAAGATGTCAGCCTTTGAAGTGCTACAAAATTCCAATTTCTATTGAAGCAATTGAGGATGCACTTGATCGGAAAACAACTTCTCCCATTGCCACCGAAGCTTGTCTAGCACAAAGAGAGAGGTTGAACGAGAAGAGACTACAAATTGTGCTTTCTGTATTACATAGAAATTGGGCAGCTATCATTTTTGTCACTAGGGTTTTTTTTCAGTTGTTCTGAATAATCCTTTTTGCCTTTTGCTTCATTTTCCTTTTTGGAGTATGTCTTGTTCTCCATACATTTAACTATCCTATTCCTGTCTTAATATACTTCTTCTTCTATCAAAACAAGAGAAGATCAATTTAGGCATCACAACTTATGGACAACTAATCTCAGTAAAGAGATTAATAGCATCGGTACCATGTACAAATTATGGATAAATAGTCCTAGTAACGAGGCTTAGTTTACACCTAATGTACTATTATTGATTACAGAAACATAAATGCAACACACTCATAACTTTAAAACTAATTAGTATACAAATGAAACTATATAAAGTGATTTGTAGTGAAACACTGAAAATTGTAGTTTATTAAATACTACAAAGAATTTGTCCCTTTATCTGGATTTAAATTGTTAAATAATTAGTCATGGAAATTGAAAGAAATTACGGGCATTTCATACATGAAAAGAGAAGTCAAAAGTTTCATGAGTATTATTTGCATTCAGACAGACCCAAAGCATTACAACTTACACCAAGAAGCCATCACTTGCTTGGTTCCTCCAAATATTGCTCTTAGCATTACTTGTTCCAGCCATGACTTTCTTATTGACTTTAGTATTTACTGAAGCAAAGGACCCTACTGCAAATTGGGGTAAAGAAAAAATACCTGTAAGTCTTCAGTGTCATGCACTTGAGAAGATTTTGAGAAAAAAATCTGTACTTACTTTGAGCGCCACTAACTTCTCTCACTTTTTCTTTTCTTGTGACATTTTCCTGTATCAAGAAGGAAAAAAATTCAAAATATTCAACTTATCTATATTCTGAAGGACTCAAAATTATAGAAAACAAAATTCCAAAATATTCAACATATCTATATTCTGCAGGACTCCATGTTGGAAAGTATACTTGTATAATAAGTAGGGTAAAGAGTATAGCAATATATCCCTCTCTTGTAATTAATAAAAAAAGTCGAGACCTATTTTACAAATCCTATTCGATTTTTATTGTCAAAATAAGAAAATTCTAAAAGGTGTCTCATAGCTGGCCAACTCTTCCCAGCCGCTGGCCACCAGCAACCAAAACTTTATCGCCAGCAGCTGCAGCCAAGTCGTGCTTTACTCAATTGCTCCAGCCACATCCACCACCTTGTTGTAGCTGCAAGTCAGCCACAAGCAGTTGTATGGTCAAAAGCAGCCCAAAATAGCCGTTCAGCCGCCAACCACCCAAACCATCCCTACACAGCCTTTATCTGGCCAGCCTCACCTCAGCGGCACAACCAATCTCCTCTGCCGTGTGCCTAGCAGCCTGCACAGTACACTGCAACCCTTCCTTGAGCAGCCCATTTATCTGCCTTTGTTGCACCTTGCACAATTGCGTCACCTTAATCACTAGATTATACAACTCTTCATACTGAAGCTCTAGCCAATATCGGAATTTACCACTCAATCTACCGGTACATAGGAAAATCAGCACAGAACAACAATTAATTTTAGCCAACCCAGGCTACCTACCGCTTCAATAACAAGGATTACCTAAATCATTCACAATTGATTCAAGCCACTCTCAAGAGTAGAGGAAAATTAAGTCATCTCCTAGGCACTGGATCAAAACTGAGAGATCTCATTTTTTATTTTTTTTTTAAATAAAAGTGTGGAGTTATATTGATGTTAGAGTGCCAAGGGGACACAACCTATTTACAATGTATTTACAAGTCGATTAAACTATCGACAACAATACCAAAATCATGAAAACAATTGATGTTATGACCTAAAATAATGGAACCAAAATAGTGAAACCTGTTATCAATGAGATTGTTAAAATCAAGTTCTATTCCTTCAAAAGCTTGATTGTTTCTCTCTTTCCAAAGGACCCATATTATGGTGAGTGGAATTAATCTTAACATTTTGCTCTTACTGCTGAAGTCTTCCCATGCTAGGAGTTCAGCATGAATGTTGTTGTTCATGACCCAAGATAGCCCCATAAGACTAATAATGGTGTTCCATAAGTGCTGTGAAACCAAACAGCCTAAAAGCAGGTGGTTACAAATTTCAAAATTGTTCTTACAAAGGAAACATCTATTGACGATCATGAAACCTCTTTTCATTAGGTTGTCAAGAGTAAGAATGCGGCCTTTTGTAGCTTCCCAAGCAAAAAATGAAATTCTTGGAGTTGCACCCGATTTCCATATTATGTTGGAAAGGGAAGCTAATGTTGTCCTGATTAAGATTGTCCGCTAAGTGGTTGTAGAGAAATCTGACAGTAAAAGTATCATTTTTGAATAGTAGTCACTTTAGGTTATCCTCCCTGTCATAAACTTGAATTGAAGACAGAGTCTATAGTGATGATAAATATTCCTCTAACTCCCATTCTTATAAATTTCTAAATACTGACACCTATCAAAAGCCCTGTTTGTTAAGAACTGCAGAGTCTTTAACCAAAATATTTTTATCCCTACCAATAGCATAAATAAGAGGGAATCTTGTTTGAAGAGTAAACTTATCATGCCATATGTCTGATCAAAATCTTATTTTGTTGTCATTCCCAATAACCCAACTATAGTGTTGTAGATTGATACTGTTTAGTTTCTAGATGTTCTTCCAAAGACTCGAACCAAATGTGCTATTTTTAATTCTAGATTAATCATGATAGTCACTGTTGAACCATTTGCACAATATGATTGATTTCCATAAACAATAATAACCTTCCTTCCAGAATCTCCAAATCCATTTTCCAAGAAGGGCCTTGTTAAGTGTAGTTATAGATCTCAAGCCCAAACCACCATCTTTAATAGGTTTCTTGATTTCTTTCTAGTTTACAAGGTGAATTTTCTTATTGCTACTATTTTCATCTCCCCAGAGAAAGTTGTACTGAATGAATTCCAAAATGTTGGCAATACAAGTTGGAATGCTGAACACTGAAAGGAGATAAATAGGGAGATTAGATAGGGTGCTTTTAATGAGAGTTAAACGTCCCCCCTTTGATAGGAATTTTCTCTTCCAGTTGGCAAGTCGGTTTTGAAATATATCAATGATCGGATTCCAAACTTTGTCTTTGTGTTTGGCCCCAAGGGGAGCGCCAGAATCTCATTTTTTATGCTTGGGATGAAGAAGATTCTATGATTATGGCCTAACTTTGAAACTATATAGCACCAGAGATCAGTAAACCAGTTATATGTCTGCCTAGAGCAATAGACATTTAGGATTCAATTCTGAAAACATTTTTCAAGAGAAAAGATGTCGCCCAAATATATAATTTGACCGTCAAGGTTTGGACAATTAAGCAAGGCTATAGGACAATCATAGAGTACTCAAACCTTCTATAAATTATATGACAGGAGTTTGATTAATACATAGCATCACTATAGAAAACAGTAAATACGCAACCGTCTTGAAAATATTTGTTAAGAAATATAGGGTATGCTAAATTATGGCATGACTCAATGAGAAATATGATCATATGAGAGTCCATATCATAATGAAGGAATTGATATCATATCTGAACGAGGTAATATCCCTAATCAGTACAAAGGAAGGTAAAAAGTGAGTTACGCTTGAATCTACACAACACAGGGATCCGCAATGGTAATTAAAGGTTGTAAACCACGACAATTAGGTAAGGAACCAAATCAAAGTGAGACTTCGATTGTTGGCAAGAAAAACAGGGATATTCTTTAGAGTACCTTATTCAAAAAACCAAAGCACACCAAAGAAAAATGTTAGAAGCTTCATGAAAAACCTACCACCTCAAGTAAATACTGGGGATATAAGAAAAATTAGGAACAGACACATAGCCCAAGAGGAGAAGAATAGAAAAACCTAGTATTTTAAGGCAGAAATTGAATGACTATGAATCCGACTTAAGCAGCTTGAAAACCTAAAGGTACAAGCCTCATGGCACACTCAACTATGTTTCCTATTTCCTATAGTTTAAATGGCCCAGATAAATCCTTTGCATTATCATGAATAGTGGACTCATAAGCCATCAACCACATGACAAATTCCCCTAAATGTTTTGACATTCATACTCCGTCTCTCAGCAATAGGAAGATTACCACAGCTGATAGTTCACTAACCACAGTAGTCATGTTAATGTCAAATATCTGATTTCCATTAGAAGTTCTAACTACATTTTTCTCGAGGTATAAGTCACAAACAACCTTATACCTCATGTCTTTGGGTGTGTTGACTATATTTACATAAATCAATATCAAATATGGAAACTCGACCCTAGGGCAATCGAGTGTTTTTTCATGGGATATTCCTCTACCAAAAAAGGATACAAGTGTTGCCACCCATCAACTATGAATTTTTATGTGTCAACTGATGTGATTTTTGTTGAAACCGAGTTCTTCTTTGACCAACTTTATCTTTAAAAGAAGATTATATAGAAGATAAAGGAGACTAGGTGACTTAACGAATATATCCAGATATAAGAAATTGACTATCAAGAGACCTTTGCACTGGTTGCAAAGATGAATACAGTATTCATTCTACTATTCCTAACTGCTAACTTTAATTGGCAGTTACAGTAGTTTGATGTAAAAAATATATTCCTACACGGAGAATGGGAAGAGAAATTTTATATTGGAGTTTTCTCCCGGGTTTGTCAAAGGAGGAGAGAAGAATAAGGTATGCAAGCTTAAAAAGATGCTGTATGGACTTGAACAATCTTCCCAGGCAGAGTTTGGGAGATTTGTCAGAGTAATGTTACCCATGCACTATAAATAGAGTCAGAGATGTCATACCCTATTCATCAAGCACTAGGAGGCTGGGGGAAGCCACAATACTACTGGTATATTTAGATGATATTATTGCTATAAGGATGATGAAGAAGAGAAGATAGCTCTCAAGCAACGTCTAACAAAAGAATTTTAGATCAAGAATTAGGAATACTAAATACTTCATCAGGATAGAGGTGGACTACTCTAAGTCTGGAATATTTATCTCCTAACAAAAATATATTACAAATCTTTTGAAAGAAACTGGCAAGCTAGCGTGCAAGTCTGCCTATACACCAATTAATCCCAATCACAAACTGGGATTAACAAAGGAAGATCTCAAGGTGAACAAGAAAATGTACCCGTGACTAGTGGGGTAACTTATATATTTATCATATACAATGCTAAACATACCATATACAATGAACGTAGTGAATCAATTCATGCACATTCCTAAAGAAGTGCGTTTGTAATTTGCCTATTGAATATTCCACTACTTGAATGACACTCCAAGAAAGGAAATCATGTTCAAAAGAAATAATGAGTTGCTTATTAAAGTATTACTAATGCTAACTATGCAGGTTCATTAGTCGATAGAAGGTTACATCCAGAACTGCACTTTTATCGTAAGAAGCTTAGTTATTTGGAGAAGTAAGAAACGGGATGTAGTATGTCAATTCAATGCCGAATCAGAGTTTAGAGTTATGGCTCAAGGGGTGTGTGAACTCCTGTGGTTGAACATGATTCTGGAAGATTTGAAGATTCAGTAGAATTGACCTATCAGACTCTATTGCGATAATAAGTCAGCAATTAATATTGCTCACAAGCCCATACAACATGATTGGACAAAATATATTAAAGTTGATCGACACATTATCAAAGAAAAGTTGGATAGTGGACTGATATGTACTCCATACATGTCCAATACTTTGCAACTTGCTGATGTATAAACCAGGGGGTTGAGTAATCTTGGATTTCAAACTATTATTAACAAGCTAGAATGAATAATATCTATTCATCAGTTTGATGAAAAATATTGGGAAGTATACTTATATAATAAGTTGGGTAAATGGTATATTACTAATATACCGCTCTCATGTAATTAACAGGGTTTCTTTTTTCATTGTTTATAAAACCTGTATATGTAAAGCTCTATTTATTCAATGAAAATACAATTCATTCTTCCACACCCAAAACTGTATAAAACAAAATATGATAAAACATCAAACAATTGTTTTGTGATTAGTTTTTATATCTACATAATATTTTGCAGAAAATAGAAAAAGAAAATGAATCAGAAATATAACCTCCACACTTGGATTGCCTACTTCACTCATCCTCTTCAAAGCTTGCAAAGACTTCCTTCGAGCATAAATGGATGACATAAGAACCAAAACACAGTAGATATAGAAACTATTCTCAACCAATAAGTCAGATAATCTACAGAAAATCAATCAAATCTTGTGGGGATAACCAAATTTTCGTATCCCTAAGATTTTAAAAAAATAATAATTTCTTCATAATTAAAGGTCAGATAAAGATGAAGCAAATACAAGAGCATGAGGAACCTGTACCAATTTCAAAAAACTTCTCTAATTAAAGATCAAAATCTAAGTTTTAGGTGGAGTCATGCAAGAAAATAAAAATAAAAAGCTAGAAACCTTTCAGTAACAGCCTTGGCATTCCCGCTCTTGGTCCTTTGATCATCTAAACCAACCTTTACATCTTTGGTACCTGTGTTACCCCAAGCCAGTAAATAATAAAGAATGAGTTTAAGACATTAAAGTTTCTAAAATACAGAAACTTGCCTATCTTAGAGGTAAGAGCCTGACCATACTCCCTCTCCGTTCGCTGTAAAGAAAGAGTGAAAAGAAAAATCATTCACTTTCATATTCCATAAAAAGGACAAACAGGATGAGAATGAGGGATGGTGATATTAGCTGGCCATGAGAATAAGCATTTCTCATCATGGTACTGTACAAAAAGCAAAGGCATGATTGAAATGTTATAAGTCAAGTATCAACATAACTAAACCACCTCATTTTATTTTTCCAGGCAATATATTATTGTGGGGGTTATAGTCCCACGATCATTGATAGGATGGTGATATTGGCTGGCCATGAGAATAAACATTTGTCATCATGATGCTATAACAAAAAAGCATAACTGAAATGTTAGAACTCAAATATAACCATAAATAAACCATCTCATTGCATTTTGTCCAGACATTAAATTATTGTGAGGATTACAGTTCTAAGATCTTTTGTAGTATAAATTTGCTTATGCTTTCTATCAAAACAAAATGTATAATGCATGCCTTCAAAGGATTAATTTAACCCTACTTTTATAATTTAAAGGCCATGTGTAAATTTCTTGAAATCAATTTTCATTTTCTTGAAACTTTTTCCAAAAGAACTCTGCTATAGAGGGATAAACTAACCCTCCCTAAGACAAGCTCCAAGTACTTACCACCAATATCTCCAGTTATAATTTACCTCCCTGATCAAACTTCTCTTCTTATAAGGTAAAGATACTTGCTTTCTATGTAGTAAACCCTAGTCAATTGGTATTCTCATAAGAATCACAAAGAATAAAAGATCAGATTCTTCTATAAGTGGAGCATTTCATCATGACTGAAATTAAGGTATTGACATGATTCACCATATCTTTTTTATTAAGGTATTGACATAATTCACCATATCTTTTTTAAAGAAAAAGAAATATTATTAAGGAAATGAAAAGAGAACACACAATGCCAGAAGATAAAATAGCCTCTTATAGCCTTCTAAATGAAATCCACTATCTCTAAAAAACAGTCATTAGACTGATATTAAAATAATGTAACAGCTAAAGCAAGCAAACACTCATATGCTCTTGCATTTATGCATTATGGTAGCATAAAAGTTATGGAACGTTTGTGGTAATTTTTATCATGTTTAAATGGGCTGCAAACCAGAGAAAGGAAAAAATTATTGCACAATACCGAATTCCAGCCATCCTACTCATCAATGGTTTTGCAACACTCTGGCCAAAACCTAGCTACGGATGGAACTACAGTTAATTTTCATGCGTATATATTACTAGAACATGCCGAAAAGATTATTTTATCCTTTCTAGCAATAACTACTTAATCAAAACAGAAGTCATTTATAAGATCAATGGATAAGGAAACAACAAGCTATAAACAAAGCATAAACTTATCATGCATCCTGACCATGATAGATTTTCGCAGTGATACATTCAGAGCTCTAGAACCTGGACCGACTGATACCCTAAAAAGATAGAAAAATCAAGAGTCAAATAAGTAATACTATCATAAAATATCAATAAAAATATAAAGGCAAGAGAAGGTATAAAAATTATTCTTCTAAAATTTTTTTCTTTAAGCAAATAAGAAACATAATATACAATGAAACATCTTCTAACCAGTTTCTTTCGCTAAGTACCACCTGTCTCCCTTTTATGAGGGAGATCCAAAGTTAAGAACTGACAAGGTCAGGACATTTAAAATATTTTGTGTTGGCAGTCTGGTAATTTTACTACGTACAAAAATCAAAAATATTATGTCAAAACAATTCAACTCTCAATAGGGAAAAAAAGAAAAGGAAAGGTTAGTTTGTTATTTACAATAGATACATTAGTAATTCAGTTCCCATTTAAATAAAAAGAAAATTCTTCTGTTAAAGAAATAATTCAAAAAATTACTACAGAAGAGAGAAATAAAAACTCTAAGACAGTGCAACAATGATAAAATTTGTTATCCTGACAATCAAGACACAGAAAGACACACTAGTCAAACTATAAAACCACAAACCAGAAGAATGTTACTTCTAAGACAAGTATGATACTAGTGACAATTAGCACTTTTTAATAATAACCGTACCTTTGGCTAATCACACTTCCTTCATTCCTACCCATACTGCATAGCAAATGTGAGATTAAAGAAAAAAAAAGTCATTCCTTCTTCTTTGTAAATTAAAGAAATAAATGGAGAAAGAAAAAAAAGAAGAGGAACTCCTTTTTTCAGCATATAAGGCAGTAATTCATAAATTGGGTTAATCAATAATTTTTTTTCCAAGAGGGAAACACTTTTTTTTTCTGAGAAGAGATTGTAACAATGTTTTTACCATAATGCCCCTCTAGAATTCACAAAACTCTAATCCACATTCTTCCTCTAAAATCTCAAATGTACACTTAATTCTGCTATTAATTAATATCTCACAAATTGCATTACTAAAATATAGCAAAACTGTGTCGTATTTGTATTGTATAAAAATTTGTTAGTTTATATTTGTATTCTTTAGAATTTAACAATGATGAAAGTTTTTTGAAATAATTAAGATTAATTAGAGTGAAAAGGAAAACACGATAATGACATTTTAATTAGAAATATTAAATCGTCCTTTTTAATCATTTTATGAACTTTTAACTAATGAGTATTCTTTCTTCCAAACACTCAACTAATTAGTTGGAACTGTAGATCAATAACAATGCACTCAACAAAATGTATAAAAAATTATTTTTTAGGCACTTATGAGTTAAATGAGCTTAAACCTCCATATGCATATAAATACAAAAGGCAATCAAAAGGCACTATATATATCAAGAAACAAGAAAATGGAACTTAAAATTCAGAAAATGTCCATTAAGTTTTGACCTTTCAAGAAGAAAATATCCAAATAAAAGAATACTCACATCTGTTTGGTACCATAAACCATTGAATTCTTAGACACTTTGGCACTGACATTGCTGACATCAGCTAATGCTTTTCTTTGAACTTTTGAATTTTCTGAACAGGGAACATAAGAAACTATGAGAAGAGTCCTCACAGCATGGTGATGGGCTTCATACCAAACTTAGTCTCGTAAAGCCTTACCGGAACTCTCACACTTGCCTTTGTACTTCTCCATGATTATAGTACTCCCCTTTATCTTAAAAGATACAAGCAAGGAAAAAAGAAGTGTTCTGTCTTATACAGAAAACAAATTGCATTTAAAGAATAAAAAATTAAAAAAGAAAGTCGCCAGTAATATAGGGAAAGATTGAAGAGGTAGAAACCTTTAAATTGCCTGTGCTAGTTCGTGTACTTCCTTTACTTGCTTGTACAGACTTCCTTCTAAGGGAAACATGATCAAATGGTTTAGAATTTTTTTTTTAAGTCAAAGCAACAAAGTCTTTCAACATGATATGCTAGAGTAGTTTCCTTCCAACACAATATGAAGACTACTTTCTTTTACAGTCCCTTGAACTGTCTTAGCAACATAAAACTGACAAACATATATGCAATGTGCTTTTTAACTAAGGTGTTTCCCAAGTAAACAATAAACTCAATTCAATGTCTTTTAGTACTTAGAAATTTATTTTTGCATTTCTCACAAAAATTTACTGGAGAAAGAAAAAATACTCCTACATTTACCCAACAACTTTTGAGAGAGAAACAATACGAGATGATACTTACAGGCCATTGGTATCAACCTTCCCCTTTTCATTTTCTGAGTAAACTTTGAAATTCTTGCTCACCGCTGTTCAAAAGTAATATTAGAAAATATATATACACTGCAATACAAGAATATATAATTCTAGCATACATGATTATGAAAGGTAGCTATAGCTTTACCAATCATCCGGCTGCAGCCATCTTCAGTGACTTGATTAGAACCCATAAATTTTCCCTAAATTTTGCCAGTAACATTTATTGGTTCAGTTAAATGATTCATTTAACAAACATAACAACAATCATGAATCGACGAAGAGAAACTAAGCAATTTGAACTTTACTACTATAAAGTGATTGGAGAAGGAGAGGTAATTGTTTTCCTCATTACTTTCAAGGTTTCTCTTATGCTTAAATATGTAAAGAGTGTTTAATGAGAAGAACTGGAAACTAATACAAACAGCTATGAGGCTTCTTTTTGGTTAACTCTAAGCTTAAATATGTAAAGAGTGTTTAATGAGAAGAAATGGAAACTAATACAAACAGCGATGAGGCTTCTTTTTGGTTAACTCTAACTTGTTCTCAGGTGTTTGTTTCAACCAATTCATTGGACTGAAGATTTAAAACAACAGGAAGATTCAGAAGAAAAAGAGAAATGAAAACTAACTCTTTCCAAATATCTAAAGGAATGAGATGAGATCCTAATTCATTCCGTAATTATACATGCAATGAGAATTTGTATTCAAGATTATGTACGATGAATCTGGTCTCTACAACCCCAAATTCTTTATGCCTAACTCTTCTAACTTCCAACTACAAGAAATTCCAAAATCAAAAGAAAGAAACGTAGAAAAATCTTCTCCGTAGATAAAATGTGCATCACATATAAACCCTAGTATTCTGAATCACGTAGAAAATAGAAGGAAAATTTAAAAAAGAAAAGGGGAGGGAGAGAGAACGAGAAAAGAAAACTTTTACTCGTTTTAAACGCATAACTACTTTCTAGCGTACCTTAACCAACGCCATCTTCTTGGAAGATTGAATTCTCGGTATTCTGTCGTAAGCTATTCTGTAAAAGCGAAAGGGAGAGGGGAGAGGGGAGAGGGGAGAGGGGAGAGGGAAAGGGAGAGAGGAGAGGGATTACCGTTGAAATATCAAATCTAATTTTCTGAGAGCGCCTGTTTGCTTTCGGTTTTAAAGTGCAGATGGTTTTACATTTATACCCTCAAGGTTCAAGGGACGCATCCACCAGGTTCAAACCGGGCTGAATTTTTCTTTTTTTCTTTTTTTTTTTTTTTTGTTTTTCGTCCGCAATTCGAATACCTTAAAATTTTTAATATTTAATTTCTAATTAAATAGTTTAAAACTAAAGCTTAAATATATTTTTCATAAATTTAAAAGTAAAAAGCTAAAAATACATGCTTTTAAAAATAATAATAATGTTTGGTTTTACCATATCCTTTTCAAAATTGTCAATTAGCTTTAACATTTTCTTTTTAAAATTACAATTTTGTCCTTTAAATATCAATTTCCGCCTCCAGCCACCAGCCGTCTGACCTTCCGTAGCAGTAATAGTCTCGCATGACGTCATTCTTTCTTCAGTTATGATCTCGACCGTCCGTCACGCACAATCTTGTCGTCTCTTGCTTCTGTTGCACGGCCTCGCTCGTGCTGTCCGCTAGCTGTGCTGGTCTTGCCGTCGTCGAACCCGTCATCTCATCTGCTTGCTCTGTTCTTCTCTTCTCCATGTATATAAATATAGTACATATTATATAATATATATTATGTAAATGTAATAATATATTACATAATACATATATATATTATGATATGTATAGTCTAAAATACATATAAAAACAATCAGATTTGATGTTTTCTATATATAACATTCTGATCTTTTTTATATATTTGTTGTATAAGAATTAGAATGTTTATATAGAAAATATTTTTGCTTTATATATATATATATATGTGTGTGTGTATAACATTGGGGTTAATGTTTATACAAAATATATTGTTATAAATATTATAATATATATTTATTTGCAAATATTGTTTTAGTTAATTTTTCTTGCCTTTTTAATTTTATGTTATTTTAATATCTATAATTATTTTAATCAAATACAACAGTTTCTCTTTGATTCATTTTCTTCTTGTATCATTTTTTTAATCTCAATATAACAAATATTTCCATCAAATACAAAATTTTTACTTTTTAAGATGATAACAAGTTGTATAATTATTTCTCTCAAGCATATAACAATTTTCTATTAAAAGTATTTTTACTAAAAGGTTATTTAAACATCACTCTTACAATATAATATTAATATTGCTTTTTACAACTACAATTAATTTTTATATATAAAAATTGTAACAAGTTGAGTTCATACTATATTTTATAAAATTCAAATATGATGCAGCTTTAAGTTTAAATACACAAAGTTCACGTTTTCTCCTAAATCATGAGTGAATTCACCAAATTTGCTTTGTTTCCAACCGATATTGTATAAAATATATTTATATACAATGAACTAAAAAATTAAATTTTAAAGTTAAAAGTATATATTATATATAGAATAAATTATCAAAATAGTTCTCAATTTTTTTTACACGTATTACATTGGTTACAATTTGATCTCTAATTCTTTTAGTTTTTCTTTTAAAGATAATTTTAACTAAAGAACAATAAATATTTTAAATGATAAATGCATAAATATTTAGGTTGTCTTTGGAAAGAAAAAATTATTTTACTTTTCCAAATCCATCATCTTTCATTATTATCTAAAAATCATCTTCTATGACTAGATAAATTTACATACATTCTCTATTTATAAATAATCACTATTGTCAATGTCATAACCAAACATGAACATTGAAGAAGAAAAAATGTCACATAACCCTTTTTAAACTATTTTTTCACCTCCTTTATTTACATTTTGTTAAAAGGCCCCTTGGAAATGGGCTGTGTACAACCCATATTCTATAAGATTGCTTCCATATGAGAACCAAAATGCACTGTTTCATTAAACGGTGCATTTTGGCTGTTGTTACACCAGAAAATGAGGTATAAATACCTCTTCTTCTCCATCAGAAAACCCATAATCGGATTTCCTTTTTCTCCAAACTTCTTCCTCTCACACAGACACCAAAAGCTCTAGGTTTATGCATTTTCTTTTTTTTTTTCTATTTGGTTTGCAGATATTCAACTTGGACATTAAGGGACAACAGCAAGTATTATCTTCAATGAGTAAAGGTATTGTACATTAATTTTTTCATATTTTACCGAAGTAATGTATTGTTGTTAGAAAATCTAGGATCTGGTGTGTATTGAGAAAGTAAAAGTTCACTTTATAACATAGTATCAGAACAGGTTTGATGATATAAACCCGAACAAAAAAAAAAAGAGGAATAGAAAAGATCCATTTCGATTTATCTAAACCCGAGAAACAGACACATTTAGAGCAAGTATGTTGTTTGGAGCCAAAAAAAAAGTGAAGCAAACACGTACACAACGGGTTGGTCTAAAACCTGAAAAAAAAAGGGAAAAAAATCCAAATGTTGGTTCAAATGTCTATTTAAAGAAATTATTAGGTTTATCATAGTTGCAAATCTATAAAAAAGAGGGAAATACATACAAAGCAAATGATAGAAATAGAAAACTTATATTCACACATGAGAACCACAAATAAAAACTCTACTGGTTTAACCAAAACAATTTCAAATACAAACCAAAATCCCATTGTTTTGACTGGGACAATTTTAGATTCATCAAATCTGGCCTCCAACATTAAGGCCAGCACATTTCATGCAAAAACTGCATATAATCTTTATGCTGACCTCAAACAGAGACATGTTGAACAAAATGCCTTCAATCAAGTATCTTCTAGTGAGACATGTGAAAATATATGTGTTCTTGGATAATTGACAGTGGTGCATCTTATCACATTATTCACACACCAAAATTATATACTAAAATTACATCAAATATCATTTCCAATGTTACTTTGCCTAATGGTGTAAAAGTCGATGTGTCGCACACTAGAATAGTTAGGTTAAGTGAGGACATAGTTCTCAACAATGTGTTATGTGTGCCATCATTTAATTTCAATTTAATTTATGTTAAAAGGCTAACACAAGATTGTAAGTGATGTTTAATTTTTTCACAAACACAGTGTGTTATCCAAGACCTTATAACTTACAAAATGATTGCAATATGAGGAATTAAGGATGGATTGTATCAACTTAATTCCACCATACCATTAAGAGAAACAACCAAACCAGCATTCACAGGTGCAACCCTTTTGGGTCTCAAAGAAATACAAGAAGTTGATGTATGACACTACAGACTTGGACACCATTCATAGTCCAAGTCAATTACAAAATCAAATGTAGCCAAAACAAATAGTTATAAGTTGTGTTATGTTTGCCCACTAGCTAAGATGCATAAACTTGCATCTGATGATAGTAACAATAGAGCATTAAAGTGTTTTTATCTAATTCATTGTGATATTTGGGGCCCCTATAATGAGATGTCTTATGATGGTTATAAGTATTTCCTATCAATTATTGATGATCATAATAGATGTATTTGAGTATATTTGATAAAAAGCAAGGCTGAGACGAGCATGCACTTACAACATTTTTATGCATTTGTTGAAACTCAATTTGAT